CCGCAGTTCTTTTGGTTTTTATTGCATTTCTGCCATTTCTAAATTGAATACTTTTCTAGATTTTATTAAGAAACTATATCTTTGGGAAAATATGTCAAATGTTGACACTGAGATGCTTAAGGATATATGAGGAATGCTGGGAGGTAAGTTTTGAGGAGTAACTTAAAGGAGGACAATGAATGAGATGTTTAGGAGGGGAATTTAAGGAGTGTAATGTTATAGTGATAATGCCATTGGAATAACAAGCCAGAGGCTCATGCCAAAGACCTGGGAATATGGATGTAAATCCCACCGCAGTAGCTGGTTTAATCAGCAAACTGAAAGCTGTCAATTGTCAATTAGCACTGAATGTTAAAAGAGAATGTCATGTTCTCGACTGTCTTTTAGGGAAGAAAATCTACCATCCTCATCTAGTCTGGCCTACGTATGACTCCAAACCCACAGTGATGTGGTTCCTCTTAAATTACCTAACACGCCAATCGGTTGATGGGCCACAAATCCCGGACTTGCCGGTGATGCCCACATGCCAGAGAAATATGGTCTTGTTTGCATAAGAGATGGCTTTGCTTTGTTGGGATAAAGTCAAACCCAAATGTTTGTTAGTTCACTTGATTTGCTCCTGTACAGAGCCAAACAGCATTTGTAGCAATGTAGAAATACAAAGATATATTTTCTGAAGAAAGTATATTTTTAAAATTTAAAACAAAAGTAAATAAAATTCCAAAGTTTATTTTGATTTAATCCCTAGCCACCCCCTTCACTTCTTTTTCATGTCAGTGTTGCCCCTATCGGGCTTTGCTTTTTACTGGTTCCCTGGTCACACGGGTGTTTTCCTGGTGGTGGAAATATTGAGTAAAGTCTTTTGCACGTGGCGTCCTTTTACTGAGAAAAAGTAAAATTTTTAAAAAAGTCCAAGGTTTAGACACTAGTCAGGTGGCAATGCTAAGGTGGCGCATTGAGACCAAAATTAGAACAGGGAGCGATAACTAACAAACATCGAAGTGCGGTGCAAGAGAGAGACTGGCAGCAATTATGGGACTCGCATTCATCCATGAAAGGAAGGGAGGAAAGGCATCAATTGTATCACTTCCCAAGAATATAGATACCAGAGATCATAGTCATAGAGATGTACAGCATGGAAACAGACCTGTCGGTTCAATCTTCCATGCCAACCAGATATCCTAAATTAATCTAGTTCCCTTTGCCAGCATTTGGCCCCTATCCCTCTAAACCCTTCCTATTCATATACCCATCCAGATACCTTTTAAATTTTGTAATTGTATCAGCCTCCACCACTACCTCTGGCAGCTCATTCCATACACACACCACCTTCTGCGTGAAAAAGTTGCCCCTTAGGTATCTATTAAATCTTTCCCTTCTCAACTTAAACTTATGCCCTCTGGTTTTGGAGACACCCCCAACCCCCCCACCCCATGGAAAAGACTTTGACTATTCATCCTATCCATGCCCCTCATGATTTTATAAACCTCTATAAGGTCACCCCTCAGCCTCTGATGTTTCAGGGAAAATTAGCCCCAGTCTATTCAGCCTCTCCCTATCGCTGAAACCCTCTAACCTGGCAACATCCTTGTCAATTTTTTCTGCCCCTTTCAAGTTTCACAACATCTTTCCTTTACTGGGGAGACCAGAATTGAACGCAGTATTCCAAAAGTGGCCTCACCCAATGTCCTGTACAGCCACGACATGACCTGCCAACTCCCATACTTAATGCACTGACCAATGAAGGCAAGTGTACCAAATACCTTCTTCACTATATTGCCGATCTGCAAATCATATTTATCAAACGGATTGAACCATTAGGGAGGTAACAACAAAGATTACTCACCCATCACCCACCACCACGCATTTGATATTTTGCATCATTTAGCTGCTGGATTGTATAGTTTCCTTTCAAGAAAATTAAAGAGTAAAAGTAGAGCACAACCTCTTGCCTGTAGAAGTCCGAGGCTCAAACCTGGTTTTGTTTCTGGGCTCTATTACACCTCCCAGCCATCCACCTCTGGTTCTCTTGCTAACTGAATACGTGTCTCATCACACACATACCATCCTGAACAGCTATGTAGGCAAATGAGTTTATGCTTAATTTAACTAGCAAATGAGAGATTTGGTTCGAAAAAAACTTTGGATTTTATGAATAAGCTGTCGGGTTAAACAATAGGATGTGTGGAACAAGGCAACACTGAACGTTGGAGGGGATCCACTGACCAGGTTATGGGGGAAAGGGGATTGAGGCATTGAATTGGGATGTAGATATGAAGAACAAATACCTAGAAAGTGGATGCACCTAATCAACACCCAACGGGACCATGTTCAGGAAACAAGAGAAAACACAAGGAGGAATGACTTGATAAATAATGATAGTGTCATAGTCTTATCAAAGGCCTATATCACACAGCTATATGTGGGAAGTGCTCTGCAAGATGGGCTTCAGGGAGGGAATCTGTAATTGGATCCGACTGCTCTACACCAACATCATTAGCGCAGTTTCAATCAATGGGTGGGAATCAGAAAGCTTCCCGATTAGATCTGGAGTCAGGCAGGGCTGCCCATTCCCTCCTGCCTTGTTTGTGCTTTGTATAGAGCCTTTTGCTGAGTCCATCAGGGGCCTGATGTGAGCCTGAGAGGGACGACTATTCCAGGTAGTGAGACCTGCAGGACAAAGCCTCCCTGTGCATGGATGAAGTTGCCATTTTCTGCTCGGATCTGCTGTCAGTGCACAGATCCATGAGAATCTGAGACCAGTTTGAGCTGGTCTCGGGAGCCAAGGTAAATGGAGGCGAGAGCGAAGTAATGTTCTTTGGGAACTGGGCCGACCAATCTTCTGTGCGACTGCATCAAGCTGTGCATAGACACTCAGTACACAAACACCAAGTGTCACTACGTACTCGGGTTCTACCTGTTCCTGGTGTTGCAAAGGACGGGACTTGCCTTGCTGCTGTGGAATGCTCCAAGTCATTGAACCATTCCACAGCACCTGTCCTTCATGGAGAAATTTGTAAAGAAAGCCACCTTACAGAATCCTCAAGACACTGAGGGAAAAGGAGACGGTGGACCCTGTCACGTGGTTCCCTAGAGCAGACTGTCAAAGTCATTTAACAGAATGCCTCATCACCAGAACTTTCCAGCAAGCACCAAGATATCGCTTGGCTGGCGGTGAAAAGGGGACTACCTGTGAGATTATTTACATTGGCCCAGTCTGTCTGCACCACCGCACGCTGCCCTCAAAGAGACTGTGGGGTCATAGAAACTGTCACACATCTCCTTCTGGAAAGTCAGAGATAGTAAGAACTGCAGATGCTGGAGTCAGAGATAACACAGTGTGGAGCTGGAGGAACACAGCAGGCCAGGCAGCATCAGAGGAGCAGGAAAGCTGACGTTTAGGGTCGGGACCCTTTTTCAGAAAAGGCCCATTTCTGAAGAAGGGTCCCAAACTGAAACATCAACTTTCCTGCTCCTCTGATGCTGCCTGGCCTGCTGTGTTCCTCCAGCTCCACACTGTGTTATCTCCTTCTGGAATGTGCCTTTGCAAAGTAAGTCCGGAAAGAGATGCAGAGATAGTAGGAACTGCAGATGCTGGAGGATCTGAGATAGCAAGGTGTAGAGCTGGAGAAGAAGCTTTCTGAAGAAGGGTCTAGGCCCGAAACGTCAGCCTTCCTGCTCCTCTGATGCTGCTTGGCCTGCTGTGTTCATCCAGCTCTACACCTTGTTATCCCTGGGAAGAGTCCGTGACACAGGACTCTGAGCTCCACTGTTTGTTCCACACACACATATACACATACACACAGACACACACGCTCGTATACACACACACAAACACACAGACACACACAAACAGACCAAATACACACGTGAATCTATGAGGTGAATTTGTATTTGCAGATACATTCCATTTTGTTCAAAAAACACACAATTTATAGACAGTCAGTCAATGTGATATTTTATAAATTTCTACTTTAGAAATAAAACCAGTCTGACTCCAAGCCAAAACACAAAAGATTGTAAACAAGGCCTCACACCTAACATGCATTGTCTGACCTAAAATGTCACCTCTTCTTTACACTGATAAACCCTTTAGTTCTCTCAGGACAGTGACTTGAATGGAATTCGGGGATTTACACATACATATTAATCAATTAAAACCTTCTAACTGATTAAAAATTTAACAGCATCTTAGGTTTGTTTAGTGCATCCTTATCAGTGGTGTGACCCTTTGATCATTTACTTATAAATTCTGTGTCAGATACCACCTCACTAACACCTGAAGAAGGAGCGAGGCTCCGAAAGCTTAAGTTTTCAAATAAATCTGTTGGACTATAACCTGATGTCGTGTGATTTCTGGATTGATTCTACACTGCATGGCCAATTGCAGGAGTGAACCAAGTTAGTGAGCTGGATCAGCAATCAAGATAATCATCAAACCATGGACTGTGGCTCAGAACAAAAGAGAGGAAACAGCACCATCAGTAGGAAGAGAGATAACAAGGTGTAGAGCTGGATGAACACAGTAGGCCAAGCAGCATCAGAGGAGCAGGAAGGCTGACGTGCAGTTCCTACTATCTCCACTACATCTGTAGGAAGATGCTGGATAATACAAACATTGTTTACAATTGAGTTAAGTCTTGCATGGTTATCTTTATTTGCAAAAGTTAGTAATAGGGAGATGGTAGCATAATAGTGATGTCGCGTAATTAGTAATCCTGTCATGTTGAACAATATGAAGAGTTATTCCAGACTTAAAATGTTAACTCTGTATTTCTCTTGCCACTGATGCTGCTGAGTTTCTCTAGAATTCTCTTTTTGGTTCAGATTTCCAGAATCTGCAGTATTTTGCTTTTGTTTGTGTGGTCTTTCAGGAATTGTCTGCAGCATAAGATGTGCAAACTACAGTGACACAAGATCTTCATATTTAATCAGGAAAGAAAGATAGTGGTCTAAATTTGTTTTCTAACATCAAAGTTATTTCATTCATCTCCATAGCCATTGGCATTCTGCTACAATGTCAAGCTATTGGAGAGATGCATCAAATAATTTGGACAGAGCTAGGGGAGGGGGAATAAAAAGTCGATAAAGTTAATACACAAGTTAAAGCTAGCTTTATTTAACAGAAATGCGCTCACAATGGAACACTCATTTTACAGCTACCACAACATGAACTCACCAGAGAGAGATAAAGGCTGAGTGCCCTATGTTACTTTGCTGGTTGAGGGCAATATCACACTTCTAGAGTGAGTTTTGGGACACCATGCATCACAGAACATGAGATGTGGGCAGGAAGACAATGGAATAAGAGCAAATACTCCAAATGTCTAAGAGCTGTGAAGAACAGAGAAATCTTGTCATTTTATGAATTGTGAGGGGCATGCTAGACCCATCTCCTCTAACTTACCAAAAAGGCAGCTCACCACCACATTCTCAATGGCAATGGACACTGACACCCTACATCCCATAAGCGAATAACAAAAAAGGATTTTTATTTTAACACAATAAGTATTTCGGATCTGGAAAGCAATCTGTGAGTGTGGTGAAGACATGTTCAATTGGGGCTTTTCAAAAGAGAATCTGGATCATAATCAATACAGAGCCCAAAAGGGCAGCAGAGTGGGACTGGCCAAGTTGACTTGCAAAGAGTCAGCACATATATGAAGGGCTGAAGGGCCTCCTTTTGTGCTGTTACCATTCAGTGTACTCTATTAAATCAAAGCTCCCTTTGTTCACATATGGTGCTATTCACTGACAATAAGATCCCACGGCATGAGCATTGAAGTAGATTCCAGAGCAGGAGGCCTCTGTCCTGTTGAGGTATCAGTAATATCTAGATTCAGTTCTGATGCTTGAGGTCAGATCAGGTGTAACAACAACATCTTGCATTTTGATGGCACCTTGCATATGGTTAAAGTATCAACATGCTTGACTAGAGCGTTACCGAACACAAGCGGGTATTAAGACCAGTGATTATAAATTTCATCCGGGAGCTGGCTGGAGGTAAAGGAGTACGGAGGTGCAGAGAGGATTAGGGAGGGAATTCCAGAACTTAATGGCCAAGAAGCTGAGGGCTGTAGTGAAATGAAGTAAACTGGAACCGTACAGGAAGTTAGAATTGTAGCAGACTAGAAATCAAAGATTGTTGTAAGGCTGGAGAAGTTTGCAGAGATAAGGAGGAGCAACGGTGATGCAGCAGCAGAGAACAGTTAGATTTGTTTGGCGGAAGAGTTAAAATGTCTGATTGCTCTGTAAATCCACAAACATTATCCTTAAATAACTGGAACCCTTTGTGCTGTTGTATTTTTGTCACATTGCATTCTACCCCCATAATTCAGAGACATATTTACTTCAATTGCAAATGTCATCCAAGATTTCAAAGAGATCTTGATCAATTGGGTCAATGGGCTGAGGAGTAGCAGATGGAGCTTAATTCAGATAAACGTGAGGGATTGCATTTTGATAAAACAAACAAGGACAGGACTTATACAATAAAGAAGTAGGGCTTTAGGTTGAGTTGTAGAACAGAGAGAGCTAGGGGTTGAAATTTGCATCACAGGTAGACAGAGTGGTTAAACAGCATTAAGTGTGCTTGCCTTCATTACTCAGACCTTTGAGTATAAGAGTTGGGGCGTCATGTTGAGATTGTATATGAAATTGGTGAGACCTTTTCTGGAGTACTCTGTCCAGTTCTGGTCTGTTCTAGGAAGGATATTATTAAGTTGGAGACGGATCAGAAAAGATTTGTCAGGATGTTGCAGAAATGGAGGGTTTGAGTTATAAGGAGAGGCTGGATAGGCTGGGACATTTTCATTCTAGCGTGGGAGGTTAAGGGGTGACCTTACAGAGGTTTATAACATCATGAGGGGTATAGATAAGGTAAATGGCAGGTGTCTTTTTTCTAGGGTGGGGGATTTCAAGACGAGGGGGCATATTTCAAGGTGAGAGGAGAAAGGTTTGAAAAAGATATCAGGGCAATTTTTTTACACAGAGAGTGGTTCGTGTGTGGAATGAACCAG